TCTGTTCATTGCCCTGATGGGGGCAGACTCGGCGGGTAGGTGGGCCAGGCTCCTGGAGCTCACAGGCTGGGGGACAGATTAACCAGTCCCCTCTCCACCCAAGGAACCGAGCCACCGGGGCCGGGGGGGTGGGGGGGGGGAAGGGGCGGGCAGTCCGGCGCCCGAAGAACTGCTCTGTGGCGTCGGTACTCAACCCTCTCAATACAGTTTCACTATTTGTCAAAGTCTCAGTAACTCCTGGGGACTTAAAACCTAGTAAACATGACAATTTCCCTAGATTAATATACAGACTTGACAGCATCAGTCCATCTTCCCAACTCATAGGACCACATCTGTGTCGATTTTTCCCTGCAGGGTCTTTTATTCCTATTAGGGTTTTAATAATTTTATTGGAATAAATTACATTTTGAGTTACACTAGCACTCATGTCATTTATTTACTTGTTTAAAACATTATTTCGGACATCATTCTTTCTTCTAGCTGTGCACACGGAAACAGGATCGCGGCAGAGGTCTGTGGCTTGGGCTCGGTCGCTGTTCGGCAGTCCCGGACCGCTGAGCGCAAGTTCACGTGTCCCCGTCGCCCAGCCTGCCGCCGGTGTGCCAGCCTCCGGGGCACTTGGTGAGCCAGGCTGCTTTGGACTTCGCGGCTCCTCCATCTTACCTGAAAGTTTCTGTGCTTGAGGCTGAGGGGAGGAGAGATTCCGAGGGCCCCCCCCCCCCGGGGCTTCTCACTGCTTCATCCCAGAAGTGACCCTCTTCATACTGCTGCTCTCATTTCATCGACCAAAACTCACAGGGCCCTGCGGAAGGGCGAGGGGCTGGGAGGCAGAGGGGGACAGATCACAGGAAGCCGTGCTGATCCCGCCATGCATGGGCTCTCGGGCTTCCTTGGTTTTGGAGAGGTCCTTAGTGGATTAAAGCAGAAGAGAAATTCCCAGGAGTTGTTTTATTTTATTTTATCTTTAGATTTTATCCATGTATTTTTAGAGAGCATGGAAGGGAAGGAGAAAGGGAGGGAAAGAAATATCAGTGTGTGGTTGCCGCTCACATGCCCCCAAATGGGGACCTGGCCCATAACCCAGGCCTGGGTCCTGATTGGGAATTGAACTGGCAACCCTTTGGTTCACAGCCCACACCCAATACACTGAGCTACACCAGCCAGGGTTCGGGTGTTGTTTTAAAGTGGCAGTAAAAGTAAAAGGCACAGATAATATGGAGATGGAGAAGGTATGGGGTGCCACCTCCCCCAAAAATGGGGACTGAGAGAAGGGCAGACAGTCTTGGGGTGACCAGCCATTAGAAAGGGATGGACATCAGACAAGCTTAGGGACTAAGAGAAATAACCCAGTGGAAATAGGACTCGGCGGGCAGGTCAGTGACAGGACAAAGTGCTGACAACAGGGAAGACAATAATTAACTTTTATTGTGTGCTGGCCATGTGCCTGGTACGTGCCAAACACTCTATGTTTTTTAACTCAGTCCTCTCAACAACCAGTGATGCTGGTGCTATTGGAACCCTCAGTTAACAAACAAGAAGCGCAGAGTTGTTAAGTAACCTGCCCAAGGTCACCCATTTTGTGAGTGACAGAGCTGGGCCGTGCACCTCACCCCAAAATCTGACGTCTGTCTGACTTTGTAGCCAAGGCTCTTAAGAGCCGCGCTGTGCCACCTGTCAGAATGTCCTTAAAATGGAGAGAGGAAGGGGGAGAAGAAACTTTCATCCCTTGAAACGTGCCAGGCCTTGGGCACTCTATTTTCTCATGTTTCGGGACCTGCCAGACATATAGAAAATGCTCGATGAACATTTCTCTCCTTCCTGCTCTTCTGAACTTCCCGGGCAAAGGGCAGGCATATGGACCCCTGTGTCCCATTCGGCCCCTGTCTTTTCTCAAAGCTGTGAGTGGCATGGGGCTGGGAGTCCCGTCCCTGGGGCCCAGTCTGCCAGACTGCCTGCTGGCTGGAATCGGAAGGAGGAAGGCTGTTGGGCCTGAGCATACTTGCAGAATGTTTCTGGGGACAGATGGGAAAGCTTACGTGTGGGTGTGGGTGCTTTGCGAAACCTCCTCCTGCAGCCTCCACCAGCAGGGCTGCCAGGATAGCTGTGTGGGTGCCAGGCAGGCAGGCATGGGGTCGTCTGTCTCCTGCCACCTGCTGACTGCGTGCAGGGGCTCTGCCTCTCTAAACTTTGGATGCTTCCCCCGTAAAATGGAGGCAGTGTCAGTCCTGGGGGAGTAAATGAGAGAATCCACGTTTGATAAAGGCAGATATCATCTCCTGTGTCAGAGATCTGGAAAAGGTGGTCCGGCACTTTCCCAGGCTTGTGACGAATACTGACTGGCACGGCTGGGGCTTGGATCCAGGCCTGCACACAGAATTAACCCTCTTTATAGGGCAAGCCTGACAGTGACCTTGCAGGGGGAATATGCACTTTAGGTCCAGCACCCGAGAGGGGGAGCTTGGGCGCCCGGTCCCATGGGAGGCCCTTCCTTGGACAGGGGAGTCCTGGCTGGCAGCTGGTGCCCAGGAGAATTGACGGGGTCCCTAACAGGGCCAGTTTCAGAAAACGAGCCCAGCCCTGTGTCCTCTCTGAGAAAGTGCCAGCCATCCCTAACTCAAAAAATTGCAACAGGCTGAAATGAGGGCAAAAAATTGCAACAGGCCTCTGTTCTTGTGAAGCCCAGCAGAAGGGGCACCGTCAGGAAAGGCCCTGGTGGGAGCAAGGTGGTGGTAGGGTTGGTGAGTCTCTGGGGGCACTGAAACATCAAATCATTTAGGCCGCTGCCCAGCCATAGGTCCAGTCCTGCAAGGAGACAGAAGTGCCACCATGATGGTAGATTCTAACCCAGTGGCTGCACCCAGAGACTGGTGGCTTTGGGTGTGGGGTGTGACATCGGGGAGAGTGCAGACTGGCCTCACCCCTGGACTCACATCGGTCTGTGTTGGCCTGAGTCTATTCTTATAGGTGGAGGTCAAGTTCTGCAAGTTCCGATGGACGAGTGACAAATGGAAGGTGAAGTAGGTTCCCCAATCTCATGGCACAGGTCAGGAAGGCATAGGGCCCCCCTATGAGCCTTTTGTAAGAGCAAGTCCCAGAAGACTCTGCAGACAGATAGCCCTGGGACTCCTAGCTCACCCCAGGCATTGTTTTGTGACTTACCAAGTCCCTTAACTTAAATTTACCTGAGCTTGGTTTCTTCATCTGTGAAATGGGAATGATGATACTGACTTGTCATGAGTGGTGACATCACCGACCTTCCATAAATACAGTGATCTTTGCTGACACCCACTGACAATATTTCTGAACACCTGCTATAGGCAGGGTCCTGGACTGGGGCTGGTAAGGGTGAGCAGAGTCAGACAAGGACCCCGCCCTCGTGGCCCAGGAACTGTACAATTAGCAAGTGTGGTGAGGCTGCCCTGCAGTAGGTCCTGGGGCCTGAGGGCTCCCCAGGAGCACACACTACAGAGCAGTGGGGAGGTGCCTTCACCTCCTAAGGTCTCCCCTCTTTCTCCTGAGCTCTGCATTAAGTGCTGGGGTGCCACTGAGGAGGGTGCTCTCCAAACCCGCACCAGGACTTGTGGTGTTGAGGGTGTGAGAGAACGTGATCGCCGTGAGAATGGGGCCTGCTGCTCTTAGTCTCCATTTCTGCAGGACTGGTGCGGAGCTGCAGCAGCTCCCTCCTTCTCCAAGGTCTCCAGGACCGGGTGACGCCACGCGGCTCCAATGTGGGTCTCGCAGGCACAAATGCCAGTGGGGCCCAGGTGTACTGACGGAAGCCCAAGCAGCCAAAGGAAAGCTTCTGGACCCAACTGAGATCTCTGGGCCAGGGTCAGAACTGGAGGGTGGAGGCAGGTGGGTGATGGGGATGGGCGGGGCTGGACCTGGGAGGAAGCTGGAGAAGGGGAAGAAAGGGTTTCTCATTCAGCCGACAAACATTTATTGAGCACCTACTCTTCCCTTCGTCCTATTTGGCTACTGCCTTTCCTCAAAGCTAGGAGAGGGAAGGCCAGGGAGTCTGGTCCCAGAGGCCCACTTTGCCAGATTTATGTGAGCCAAGCCGACTGCAGGGAGGGAAGAAGGAGGGGGGAAAACCACTGGGAATCAGGAGTGAATAAGACATACAAAAATCTCTGCCTTTATGGTGCTGACATTATTGTTAGCACAGACACGTGATCAGCAAGTAAAATATATGTTAGATGGTGATAACTGGTAAGGAGGGAAAATAAGTCAAGGAAGGAGGGCACAGAAGTATGTAGATGTTGAGATTTTAGGTGAGGTGGGGAGGGGGCTTGTTTACCCAGAGCATGAAAAAGGCCTGGAGAAGGCAAGGCAACGGGCTGTGTGGCCTCTGAGGGAAGGGCACTCCTGGTCTTGGAATAACAGGTGCAAAGGCAATGAGGTGAGGCACGCTCTGTGGGAGTGAGGGCCTAGGCTGGCCGCGGCTGCGTGAGCCGGGTGGCGGGGAGGCCGGCGGGAAGTGGGTCGGAGGTGAAGAGAGAGCTAGACTACAGGACCTGCTAGGCTGCGGAAAGGGTTCCGCTGGGAGCCTGTGGAGGACTCTGTGCAGAGGAATGGTAAGGTCTGCCTTAGATGTAACAGGATCAGTTGACTGCTCGGTTGAGAACAGGGCATGTGGGGCAGTGGCAGAAGCAAGGAGACAAGTTCAGAGGCCACTCCAATATTCCAGATGTATTGTTTTCCACCTTGCCCCCAGGACACAGCAAGCATCCTAGTACAGAGCAGGCACTCAAATATTTATTGGATGTGGGAACTAGTGATGTCTAAAGACTAGTTTTCAGATGGGTGCCATGCGGACTATAGGGAGAAAGTATGAAAATACAGACCCAAGGTACTGCTGCTGAGGATCTCGATCCAAGAGGTTTCTCATGGGAGAGGGGAATTTGGATTTTCAGTACAGTCTGCAGATAATTCAGGGCAGGGCTCACTTTTGGTCTCTGAAGCGTTTTTGTCTACAAGTAAGAGAGACTGACCAACGATGGCTTAAACAAAGAAAGCTTTATTTTTATTTACAATAATCCTGGATGAGGATGGCAGCTGGCATGGGCTTGGTCAAATGTTGATAGGGGCAAGGTCTTTGACATCCTCTTGGGCTTTTTCTCACTGTAGCAAGAGGGCTGCTGTGGCTCCAGGTGTCGCTGCCTCAATCAAGGCAGGAAGAAGGGAGGCTGGGTAGGGAAGTGTTGCCTGTTGTCTGCCTCTCTCCTCAGAAGAGCACGAGCACTCACAGAAGTCCCTGTAGACTTCCTGTTAGGTTTCACTGCCCAAACCTGGTCACATGCTTACCCCAAGTTGCAAAGGAGGCTGGAACAATGAGAATCTGGACTTACCACCTCTACAGTGGGAGGTTGCTGGAGAGGAGTTGGGGTGACCGTTGCGGAGTAAACAGGGGTGTCTGCCATGGTTCCACAGGACAAATGGTACTTGAGGTCCCTTCTATTCTAGGGCTTTATCTCCTTGACTTGCCACCCCCATGAAGCACCCCAGGTGACCCGAGTGAAATGCTAAGGGGCCTGCCTGCTCCAGCTTAGAGACTCTGTCGTGCTGCTTTTCACATGCCTGAACAACACATCGACCTCTGAGGTGGCTTCTTTGAGGAAGCGGTGGTCTCTATGAAGGATAATCCATCCCAAGTGTCGCCTCATTTAGCAGAGATTCAAAACTGCAGTACCACACCCTCATCTTCAAGAGCCTTTTGGAGCTCAGCTTACATACACACACACACCACACACACACAGGCATGTCTCTACTCACATCCCCACGTGGGCACTGTTAATGGGAAAAGGACATCTCTGATCCCGCAGTCAGGAGAGAGACCAGGCCAGCCCCTCCCCTTGGGTGGTCCCCCTGCTGGTCAGGATCAAACAGCATCCCAGTGGCAGCTCTTTCTGGTGGTTCTGGTGAAAAGAAATGCTTTTCTAGCCCTGTTCACGCCCCTTCACGGATGGGTTTACAAAGCCAGAGGCAGGGTTTATTCTTCAGGGGAGAAAGAAACAGGCCCGATTTATTCTTTAAATCTTCAAAAATGGAAGAAAAAGGTGAAAATATTTGGTCTCACATGGGAGGGATTTTTGGAAGTCACCGGAGCTGGCCCAGGTGATAAAAACCACGTGTGGGTGGTCTCGGGTTCAGAGGCCGAATGTGGGGACTCCAGCGGACTCGGCTGTGAGGGCGGCAGTGGGCTCCTCAATCGCCATTTCTGTCTCCAGAAACCTGTTGGAAACCACTGTATATTTGCTCTCCACGGGTTTTAGGAAAAGGTACCAAATTTTTTTTTTTTTTTGCTAGAATTGTACCTTAACAGTATGGTAGGAAATGCAGATTGGCAATTTTATACATTTCTAGTGAAAACCACAATCACACACCTGACACAATTTGCTAGGCTTTAAAAGTCTTCTCAGGCCTGGGGTCCCTGGGGTGGGTTGGATAATAAAGAGCCCCAAGGGCTGCAGAGGTGGGTGGGAGCTCCCAGGGCACAGGTCCATGGGAGTTGGGGTGTAGAGATGGCTTCAGGGGTGATGTTTCCAATATTTAGCACCCCCGGTGCTCCAGCCTTGCTTAGTGTGGTCCTAGAAGCTTGTTAGAAATGCAGTGTCTCAGCCTCCACCCCAGACCTACTGAATCAGAAGCCACATTGGAACGAGATCCCCAGTGATTCGTAGGCACGATGAAATTTGGGAAGCGCTTTTCTAGAAGTCTGGGAGTAGGAGGGCTGCAGCCCTGGCTAGGTGTGGTTACAAGGCCCGGACAGGGAGGGCTGTGGGGAGGAGAGGGTGTGGGGGAGAGGCCGGCAAATTCTAAGAAGCTGTCTTTGTTAGTACCTTTCCCACTTGCCAGGATGTGAGCCAGAGGCCACCTGCGGGCTGCACTCCTCTGCCCTTCCTCACCAATAACTGAGAACTATTTTCCCCTTGGTTGGCTTTCAAGGCAGGTGTCCCAAATGCTCCATTACTTGCTTCACACCTGGCTGCAGGTAAAACTGTGAGCAGGGAAGTTCTCTGAAACCTGCGAGTCAGGCTGCCCAGAGAAGCAGGGCCCCATGGGGGCCTGGGCAGCATGGAGGGCTTGTCAGGCCAGGTGGGCCCCTGTCCTCCCTTCCGCACTCCGCCAGGAAAATCTCAGCAGGACTCAGAAGCCCCTTCAGGAAGAGGTGCCTTGTCAAAGTCTTCCCAGCAGCAGCTTCCTTTTAGAGCAGGACAGGTAGGCGCTCGGAAGGAAAATCCTGGGGGCTTGCGGGGCAGAGGGGAAGGGGATAGGCATGCGCTCTGGGACAGTGCGTTTTTACAGGTGCAAGCGTGAACATCACAGATGTTCCGGGGCCTGGGGGTCCAGGGCTGCCAAATGCAGACGGGCTGGGGGAGGGCGGGGGCCAGGGCTGGGCTGTGGGGGTGCCGAGGTGCCGCCGGCCAGCTCTACAGCACTCTCTCTTCACTCCTCAGTGTGGCAATTCTCCGCAGGTTTTCCCTGACTTTAATGAATTCGGGGGCATGGTCCTCTTCCTTTTCTGGTGGTTTCTCCAGCTGAAGGAGAGAGGAGAGGTGTCAAGTGGGTGGGACTAGGGGAATTCTGAGTTTCAAAAGCTACAGGGTTTGGACCAAGGGTCCTCTCCTGAGAAAACAGAATCAGGGATCAGTTTTGCCACCAGCCTGGTAGCTTGGGGGACAGAGCTGAGATTAAGCCTGTGAGGCCTGGTTCAAACAGCTTCCTTCTTCTGGCCCTCAGCTTCCTCATCACTATAATGGGAGTGCCATCTCTTTCACAGGGCAGCTGTGGGAATGAAATCAGAACCAACGTATAATAGACTGGGCCAATGAGGAAACTGCGGTTTGGAGAGGGGAAGCCATTGGCCCAGAGTCACGCAGCAAAGCGAGTGGCGGAAGGAAGACTCACGCGAGTGGTAGACTCAGGGTCCAGTCCTCGTTTTGCTCATCTAGCTACTCTGGCCACATGCCGAGCTCTTCCTGGGCCAACTGACATTCCTGGAGGCACGGGCGGGCTGGGGGCCCCTCACTCACCTGGTTCAGCCTCTGCTGCCGTCTCAGCAGCTCCTGCTCAAAAGGGCACTGCAGCCGCTTGGCCTCCAGTTCCTCCTTCTTCTTCTTGATGAGCTGGCTCCGCCTGCGGTGTTCTAGGACGCGCTGCAGCTCTGGCTTGCTGTCCACGCCCAGGCCCCTGGGGTGGGGGGAGCTGTCAGGAGACCCCGTCTCCCCCATCCCAGTCTCAGGACTGAACCCTATGGTGACACCAACCTACACCATTATCGCTTATCTCGCTTACCCCATCCAATCCTGGCGGCCCCGGGGTGGGACCCATGCTGCCCATACACTGGGAAGGCAAGGGAGGCTCCTAGGGCTTAAGACACTGGTCCGAGGCACAGCCACAGAGGGGCTGCACGGGGATTTGCCTCCAGGCCTGCCTGACTGCAGAGACCAGCTTTAGGTTATTTCAGGTTATTTTCCCAGAGTGTTTCTAGAGGTGGGACTGTCGGGTCAGACTCTCTAAAAGATTTTGGGCACATTTCCACCTGCCCCTAGAAAAGGTTACTCAGAGTACACTTCTGTCAGCAGTGTACAAGGGCATCTACTTCTCCCCAGCGTCACCATCCGGTCTTTCGAATTTGCAAATCTGGGAGGCAAGAAGCAGTATCTGGTTTTCATTTGTTTCTTTGATTATCAGTCACATCAAAGAGTCTTTCAGATGTTTACCAGCTGTTTGCATTTCCTCTTTTGTGAACTAACTATACCCATCTTCTCTTCATTTTTCCTTAGGGATCTATGACATAGGTATACATTAGTTTTCGTCTGTTACTTATATTGCAAATATTTCCCCTGACGTGTCTTTAGGCTTTTAAAAAATTGTGGTGATGACTTTAAAAGGCAACCAGAGAGCCCTGGCTGGTGTAGCTCAGTGGATTGAGTGTGGGCTGTGAACCAGAGGGTTGCAAGTTCGATTCCCAGTCAGGGCATGTGCCTGGGTTGCAGGCCAGGTCCCCAGTGGGGGCCATGTGAGAGGCAGCCACACATTGATGTTCCTCTCTCTCTTTCTCCCTCCCTTCTCCTCTCTAAAAATAAATAAGTAAAATATTTTTTTAAAAAAGGGCAACCAGAGAAATACTCATGACACACTAAGAGGAAAACAAACAAACGTCAACAATACAAAATGTTATCTGCTTCAAAGGTCCTTTGCACACAGCTGAAAACAAGAATGGCGATCACAGCCGGCCCATGCCAATACTGAAAACGGCCAGGAGAGGGAGCTGTGAAGGCGCCACCACCTCCCTTCAGGCACTGTGAGCTGGGACTATCCTGGAGCGGGCTGAGGCTCAGCTTCCCTCACCGCTAGTCCACCTGCCCTTAATTGCTGCGTCCTAGCTCTGCCATCTCGGGCCTCTCTCTTTCAGTGCCTCCCCGGCCCCGGGGTCTCCCTGCTCCACTCATGCTCCCTCCAGGATTGTGACACTCCTGCTTGAAAAAGACCCTTCCCAGGACCACACGGTTCCTCTGTCCCACCTCACAATCTATGTTCCAGCCACACTGAGCAACTGGTGCTTCCTGTCCATTTGCACATGCTCATCTGTCTGCTGAGAATATACCCCATCAAAGCACCCACCATACCACCTGGTTATGCAACTGCCACCTCTGTTAGGGCAGGAACATTCTTCTGTATCTCCAGGGTCTGGCACAGTGCCTGACACATAGTAGGTGCTCAGTAAATGTAGGTGGAGGCCAGGGCCAAAGTGGGTAGCTTTTGGACCTTCACATTTTCTGTTGGTGACCATGTGGGGTACCCCCACCCCTCCTCGAGCTCCCCAGAGCCCCCCAATTGCCACCAGGCCTGCCTTCCGTGAGGGGCACTTCCTCAAACCACAGCAGGCCCGAGGGGGTGTTTGCCAGGCAGTGGCAGCCTAGCTCCGCTCCCACCTTCTGTGGTTCATGAGCAGCTCTCGGTGCAGCTCCTGGTGGCTCCGGGAGGCCTTCACAGGGTTCAGCAGCTTCTTGGGCTTGATGAGCTCCGGGTTCCATTCTCTGTACTCGGGCCGAGCCATCAGGCCGCCAATGTCTGCCCGCTCCCTCTGGATCTCTGAGTACATGGAGGCTGTAGAGATAAGCGGAGGGTTGGCCAGAGCTGGTCAGTCTCACCAGCGGGCATAGTAGAAGGGCAAGGGTCTTGGTGTTAGATGAAGCTTGGCCACCTGCCGCCCACTGCTGTGTGGCCCTGGGCAGGCTAGCTGACTCTCTGAGCCTTAGTTTCCTCAACTGTGGGATGAAGATGATTGAACCTGTGCACGGGATGGTTGTGAGGGCTGGAGATGAGTTTGTAAAGTGGGGATTAGAGGCGAAGCGCTGCTGGGTTGCAAACAACTGGTGATGTGTGCGAATGTTTCAGCCTGACTTTGAAAAAAACAAATGCCCTCCCTTGAAAGGGACTGCACTCGAGTTTCTGTTTTCCAGTGGGCTCGGAAAAGGAATAGATATTTAAAAGGAGCAATATGTACTTATAAAAGATAATTTGGATAAATGCTTTAATCAAAATATCACTCCTTATTGCTCAACTTTCCTATCCATAATCCCAAACTCCTCCATGGAAAAGTCCAGGTTGTCTCTTTCTCCAGATCGGAGAATCCCGGAGCCGCTGCATCTCTGCTTACAGAGGGACGGATGGCTGCCATCTTTGATGCAGCTGTCTGGCTTCTCGATGGCCTCATTTCTACCACAGTAGCTTGAAGTTTGTCAATTAGTTGAAATTCAGGCAGAGGGGCTCCCTCCTCTACAAGCTGGCTACACATCCTTTAAGTACTCAGAACTTTAAGTGCACAGAAGGAAGGAGAGAGATTTCTTCTAAAAAAGTGTCAGGGAGGTGACACAGCCTGGCCATTAGCTGCTTACAGTAAACAGAGTAAAAATTTAGGGATCAGCTCTGCCCCCCTCATGAGTTCTGCTTTTCTGAGATGGAACCTCTGCTGTACGCTAGGTGGCAGTGTCTGGTCAGCTACGTGGTTAAGACTCGGTTTGTATTTGTCAGCAGTTGATAGCAGAAGCTTTGAGATTGTACAGATGAAGAAACCAAGGTTCACAGAGGGTGGTCTTGGGGAACCACCAGGGTCAGTCCCCCCTTTTGAGGACCACTATGTTGCTTTTGAACAGACCCTCACTTCTCTGCCCACCCCAAACTGGGAAGAGAATGAAAACCATTCCCTGTCTGACTGGGGTTTTATGGGTAAACCGGAGTCCACGTAAGCGAGGCAGGGATGGTAGGTCTGTGCAAAAACTGGAAGTGGGTAACAGCGCAGTGGGCTGGGCACAGGGGAGGGTTGGACGGCTTGTAAATCCCAACGCGACGTTCCAGAGCATGTAGGATCAAAGGGAAGACTGTGCTCGGCAAATGGTGGCACTCCAGGCACACATCGGGCATTTGTTATTGCCCACGGCAGGGTGCCTTTAGGAGGGTTACAGAGAGACCACATGTGTAAAAGTGCTGTGTAAACCGGAAGAAGTGTTAATTGGTATAAAGTATTTTGAACGTAGTCAGATTAAGTGTCAGAGCAAAGAGACATAACCGTGCATTTTTTTCTCGAATTCACATTCTCAGAAGTGTTTCTAAAATGAGAATTCTGATGAATTTTTTCTTCTCTTTTTCAGACAGCTGTTTGTTTTTCAGGTTATATCTTTCCTAGTTTTTTGGTCCTTAAAAATAATTGTGGTAGTATTTAGTAGTTAAAAGTGGGCATTTGACAAAACGAACAGGTGGCTATCACAATATCCTCCCTGTTTAGAAATGTGAATATTTTCTTGGTCTTTGGGGTTAAGTTGTCTGGGAGTCATGCATCAGAACACCCTACTTCAGATTTTAGTTTGGGGAATTACCTCTCCCCCCACGGTGCCTATACCCCACTGCCATGTCCCACCAATCGTTTAGCTAAGTAAGTCTCAGCCATATTCTATCCAGGCCGTTACCACAACACACTTCCCTGCTGCAGCTTCTTGGCTGTTTGTCCTGTTTGAGCCTCAAATGGGACTTCTTTTGTGCCTCAAACTTTCCAGTGCTTCACAATTTTCATCTTTAAAATAACTAACTGTATGTATCTAAAGCGACAAGGCAGGAAGCAGAAATAAGTTGTATAACTTTAAGAAAGGAGAGGGCAGAACTAATATTTAAATGAGATATTACTATTTAAACCAGAATTCCTAAATGTACTAACAGCAAAGCATGTGGAACTAATGAGTTTAATAATATGGCCAGATACAAAGCAAGTACACAAAACCAAGAGCTCCCGCAGAGCAGTAATGACCACTGAGAAAGTATAGGATAATAAACCCTCGTTCTACAGTGTCTGGTTTCCTGTAACCTTCCAGGTATTGTGGTAGACGGCGGACGCAGAGGTGAAGGAAGCAAAAAAGGTTCCTGCTCTCACGGGGCTGAGTCTCCTAGGGGGGCAGGCAGTACCCTGCACACAGAACAAAAATAAATGATTACAACTAGCATCCGGAGCCCACTGATACAGGCAGGAGGGCTGGGATAGAGACCAACTGGCAGGACGCACCTTCAGCCAGGTGCAGGGGGAGGGCCTCTCTGAGGCAGCGACATTTAAGATCTGACGGGTGGAAGGAGGAGGGAGGCTGAGTGGGGCAGAGGAAACAGCATGTGTGACTCATGTACCTTGAACAAGCTTGGTTTGTTCAGGGAACAAAAAGCCACAGTGTGCCTAGAGTGGCGTGAGCGAGCGACCAGGAGAGTGGCGTGAGGGTGGACGGGTGGGTTCAAGTCCGGGAAAGATCGCATTTGATTCGATTTTAATAAGGCCATTCTCACTGCTGTGTGTGTGTGTGGGGGGGGGGGCACAAAAACTGTCAGCAGGTCTGGAGAATTTTTAAAAATCCAACTTTGGTTTCTTTCATGGCTCTTGGGCAGCCTCCGTCTGTCCCATTAAATGCCAGAGGAAAAACATCTGATTGGTCAGGCCGGGAATATTTACCCCATAGGTCACCAGCTATCCAATGGGTTTGCTGCCCCTGGGCCAGGCCCCCACCGAGCGGGTGAGGGCATCACTCAACCTCTGTAGAGAAAAGGATCTCTCGTTTTCATTTTGCACTGGGCCCTGCAAATTATGCAGCCAGTCCTGCAGCCCAGGTCTGGCTCAAAGATCTGTTCCAGGCCTTTTTGAATAAAACGATATCAGCGGTGAACCGTAGCGGATGGTGTTTTTTGGAGGCCAGGGTTGCGTGGTAGCTGGAACAGGGATGCTGAAGGATGTCTTTGGTTCTTCAGCCCAGAGCTGCAGGCTGGGAAAACTACTGCCTCTAGGGTTCTGAACTCTAGCACACAACATGTGTGAGATCCGTGCACATGGGGGCGGGGCAGAGGTAGGGCTTAGAGAGCTACTGGGCCAGCATTCCTGCCATTTGTTAATCAAGAGAGACCTCTGTGGAGAAGAGCGTCACCAAGGTGCTGGAAGAAAAGAGGCTGCTCTTCGGAGTGCATGTGCAAGCCAAGAAAATCTGGGCTTTCCTGGGGTCAGCTGGACCTTCTGAGCAGAGGCGGGGTGGGGCATTCCAGGGCCGTTCTGGCCAGGTCTCTTAGGCTACAGGGGTGTCCTGAGAGATGGAGACCCAGACTCTGAGGGAGTGACCATGATGGGCAAAGAGGCGAGGTGAGGCGAGCATTAGGTCATCTCCGAAAAGAAAAAAGATGGATGCCCAAAGAAGAGCTGGCAGGGGAGAGGAGACGGCAGTGGAGGACAAAGTGACTAGTGAATATCCTTCCCTGGTTGTCAAAGAAATGCAAAATGAAGCTAAGTCGTGTGGATGTTGGAGCCATTAGAACCTGGATTGAATCTGGCTCTGCCCCTCCCTAGCTTTGCACAAGTTCACCTCCCCTCTGCAGCAGGAATCTGCAAACTGCAGCCTTTGGGCCAAATCCCACCCTTTGGAACACATGGCCGTGCCCCCTCACTACTTATTGCCTATGGCTGCTTTTCACTAGAACAACCAATTCGAGCAGGTATGCAAGCTGCTTGAGATCAGCACCCTTCATGAGGCAGCTGAAGAACGAATGAGATGATACCTGCAAGGTGCTTGGCAAGTGCCTAGCACAAAGTCAAGGACTCTAAGTGCTGGCGACCAGGGCAGCCGCGTACAACGAGGCAGCTTGTGCACTGCACACCCCAGGGCTTCACTCTTGCAGCTCAAACTGTGAGTGGGGGCCCTTGCACAGCGTGGCAACTCCATGAGCTGTTACTAACAATTAACATTGATTAATCCCATTCGCAATCTTGGATTGCATTTTTCTCATCTTCCTTAAAAACAGTACTGGTTAGCCCTGGCCCTTGTGGCTCAGTTGGTGGGAACATCTTCCTATAAAACTGAAAGGTTTGATTCCCAGTCAGGGCACACACTTGGGTTGCAGGTTCGGTCCCAGTTGGGGTACATTCGAGCGGCAGTTGATCAATGTTTCTCTCCTTCTCTCTATCCTTCCATTCCCTTCTCTTCAGAATCAGTAAGAGTGCCTTCAAGTGAGTATTTGAAAAAAATCTGCACTGGTTATACCAGGGACTTGAACTCTGGTTGAATACTGGCATCATCAGAGGAAGTTTGAAAAATACCAGTGCCCGAGCCCCACCCCAGGGATTCTGATTAAAGCGGCTTGAGATGCCCTGCCTGGCCTTTGGGATTTTTTAAACACTCCCAAAGTGATTCCAATAGTCAGCCAAATTTGTAAAGCATGGAATTTTAAAAAAGCAAGCTTTGCTTTGGCCTGAGTGATTTCAGCTGACTTGCTGGCCTGGTTATTGTGGGTGAGTCCGATTAAAGTTAGAGCTCTTAGCAGCTCTTTAACCTTGGATGGGACCCTTCTCTTCTGTAAAGTCAAGATGCTGTGAAGACCAGTTCAAGGCAGGGGTAGCGGCGGCCAACAGGTAACAGCTGAAGTGAGTGTTTTGCATGGCTCCAAGATGGGCAAAGCATTCACCCTTAACATGCAGACTGTGGGACTGACCTCATATTTTGTGTGTGTGTGTGGGGGGGGGTCGGGGGAGACTGGGAACTTCTCGCTTGGTTAGTCCTTGGTTCTGCTGATGACATGGAAGGTCCCACAGCTCC